ATTGTATATTTGATTAGGTGTGTGTATGACATTTATAGCCCAATATCGTCTGACCATGAACACTTTTTAATGCTGCAGCGTTGAACATTTGGTTGAGTAAACTTCAATTCTTTTTGCTTTTACACTAACAGTTCTCAAGTGAATCTCCCTAAATGAACGATAAGTTCTACCACATGTCAATCACATATATAATCCAAGAAAACTATATCTTTAACAAATCTCGAAATCGTGCAAAATTTTCAGATAATTGGCTTGAATCTGTCGACGATAAAGTAGACTTTTTCGAGGCAGGGTGACAAGGAATCTTATCCATCATCTTTAGTAATTATTTAGTGATCACTACACTCAAAGTTACGTTTAAACTGAACAAATTAGTGTTTACTGATTGCATGATTGCAAACATATCGAGCCTCACTTGTTAGCTGCCTCTACTCATTCATCCCAATAAAAATGTATAAATTTATTTTCATGGTGTATAGGAACTGACGGTTAGTACCATTCAACTAACTAGATACACAAAGTAATTAAAAGACGGTCAACATGCCTCACGTTTCTATGATGAATAATCTGATGTCTTCAGACACTCATTATATATATATATATATATATATATATATATATATATATATATATATATATATATATATATATATATATATATATATATTCCAATGGTGGTACTGAATCGCTTTGAAATAAAGGTTGTGATGTGAGTTTGAATATTTTCATAACATAGTATAGCTGCCGAAAAACTGTTGATGATTACATTCGAAGTATTATTTTTTATGACTGTGTCAAAACAATGGATAGGGCGATATGCTTCGGGCAGCCGTGACAGCGCGTTTCTTCTGTTACTGTTCTACGCAAAAAATACACTCTGTGAATGTTATCGCAGGTGCGCCATTCAGTTTAATTAGTGAAATCGACAACAGTAGTCTTAGAACATTGATAGTTCGATGTATGGCTTTGTTTCTGTCACGGGATTTTATTGAACGTGCTCAGATCTCTCCGTCTTTCCCTACAGATCCTATAGCATAAATTTGCATCACATCACACATCAATGTTCTCTGCCTGTAATGCCACTTCATTCAAGAATTACACTTGAATAAATCGTAATATTATCCAAAGCGTTTTAGTTTTATGTCACTTCAAGATGACTTACATGATCAGATGATTAGAATTCTTGTTTTCTTACAATACTTCAATGATTAAGACTACTGTTTCAAAATATGTATATCGTATATGTATCACGATTAAACCATCGTGATACAGGTTTAGATAGAATCTATGCAAAGTGTCAAGCAGTGCGGTAAGAACTACTATGAGATGTATGTACTTCCGGTTGACCACCTTTAAATAGGATGAAAAATAGTGGTTCTTTTTGGTGCCAGACGTTTATATTGAACTGGAAAATGAAAGGAAATAACGCGATTGACCCAATAATGAACAATTTGACCGGAATACAGAGCGAATTATTCATCATACCGAGCGATTATCTATGTAGATACACCGACCTCACAGTGGAACAGATTGGAATTTATTATCATTCTGTAGGTTTGCAACATATGTGAAGGTCAACGTTTTACAACTAATATTTTGTTGATTACGATTTTAAAAACTTCGAATGACTAAGGAGATAGGAATGATTTAGTTCAGCATCCTTAAAAAGAACCTATTGAGTATTCAATCACCAAGCTATTTCAGTGGATTCAGAAATGAAATAAAACACGATTACTCCATTTGCATCTCACATAATATCTGATTATAAATGTTCAATGAGATTGAAGTACTAATAATCCATTATCCTACCTCCAATCTCGTTATATTCAATCGATCCTCAAGAAGGGTATTCAACACGTAACAATGTAGCCATTTATTGACATTTCGTACTGTCATGATGGTTGAGCTTCTATGAGCATCTATGCTTGAGAACACACGGAGTTCAGAGTTCAGTCCTTCCGACAAGAATCTAGTAGGTGTATGGTTCGTATCACGTTTTCTTGACAAATAACTCTTATCATCGCTACTCTATTATGAATAATATAATTGTCATGGTGTATGCAAACTAATGCTAAGGATCGTTCAAATAACTCATCATCAAAGTTGTAAGAGACAAATAAACATTCCTCTAGTCTCCATGATGTAATATCAGATTTCCATATTTTGGTTTACGTATTCATCGATAGAATGTCGGATATTTTTGCAAATTTCATACAGACAAGATTACAGTGAGTCAGCAGACACAATTTCGATCTTTCAAAACTTTGGAATCAATATGAAAAGAACAGCTTCAGGTAATGTGATTGGTTACTCAGGTTCATGTTAAACCATATTGTTCCGTTGATAGTAATAATTGAGCCGTTCACACCCTGCATTCGGACTGCTGTAGCTTGAGACATGCTGCTACCAGACGATAAGACAGATATTTTGCCACCGGTATTCACTAGGTACCTGGCGTTAGTGCGGTAACCTACTAACCTTGGATGAACGGACGGAGACAGAATAGAATATACTAAACTGCATCTCGAAGTCCATTATCTTACCCTCATCATCATATCTATTCATCGTTTCGTAACGTTGACGCAAGTGTAACACACAGCCAATGATATCGATATTATCTTTGCAAAAGTATAATAAAAACTTTGAGAATAGATGAGTTATAGACTCATTACAACTAGCAATCTTTATCGAAAATGTCAATGGATGTTGTGACTTACTGACGTGTGACATGTCCAACCTATTATTGCCTCAGTGCTATTACTTATTCATGATTTGGTGCAAGAGAAATAGCTTTTCGCCTCTTGGAATCCGCTACACTTTGCTTGAACTGTTTTCGATCTCATATGCGTCTACTTAAGTGAACGACCATGTCCACCGAATGTCCATCATATTTTTATCGCGACTCTAACTACTCCCAAACAACTTTTTAATAACACAAATATTTTTCAGTATGTGGCTTCAATATATCGATGTTGAAGTGCCCTTTAGTTAGGGAAAATGACATGTAATGCAATTCACCTTCAAGCAGCTAACTGTCAGCCATGACTAAGCGCACTATAATATTTAGAACTTACTGATTGTTGTTCAGTGACTAAAAACGTACTATTATGTTCATGGTGTATGAGAACTGACGATATAGATCAACCAAGTAACTATATTCACAAGGTAATACGAAAATGATTATCATTTCTCAACTTTCCGTGATGTATCATCTGATCTCAACATTCTCTAGTTTACCATATGAACCTAATGAAATGAGAAAATGATTCATTCCTCCTATGTCTAAATACTGTATAAATGTACATAGATCAAATGCATTGTATTTACAACTGAATTTCAGACTTCTTTGTTTTTCGCAGTTTTTCGATTGTTGTTTGTTCCAAAGTGCAGCAATACAGTAATGACTTGCTAATCAATTTATTTTGGTTTATGTGAATATAAATCTCGGTGACTGTATCGAATTGTGTTAACCGAACGCTGAAGAAGAATAATGTGAGTTATTAAATTAACGCAAAATAATATTAGTTGCCATTTAAATCCGACTTTTTCATTTACAGTATTATTACCTTGACTGATGGATTACAATCATCCGCACAGATTCATTTATTAAGGTTAGATTAATATTTCGATAGATGGATATAGAGATGGACAGATAGACTGATTGATAGATGGATAGATATATAGATAGATGGATAAGTAGATAGATAGATAGATGGGCACAGAGGGAGATATGTTTGTATGCAGAGAGATTTGTCACTAGACAGACAGATTATGAATCAAAATAGTAAACACAGGTCGATTGATAATGGCTCAAAATACTGTACAATCCGACCAAGTCAAAGGGCTTGTCTGACGTCTAAGACATGTTCATGAATGAACACCTGTCAATAAATCGTCGAAAGTTAAGAAAACAATTGTAAAAATAACTGTTCATGTTCTTACGTAATTTGTGTATCTACGTTTCATGATTAATTGTTTCTAACATTTCTGCCAACTCATTAGAATATGTAGTTTATTGTTGTCTTCAGTCTGTACATTTTAACTATGACAACATCGGAATTCATTGCAACATCGAATTCAAGTCACAGCGGCTTCTGGGACAAGACAAACTCGTGCTTGTATGTAATTGACGTTGACTAAAAATTCAACATTCCACTTGGCAGGTTCAACTCAACTGAATGCACAGCGCCCAATGTCATATCTAGTTTCATTTTTATGTAAGTTATGAAAGATGAAAAGTTTGATTGTATTATTCCGCATATAATTTTTGTGAATTGAATGGACTGATGAGCTGTGAACGTCGATTTATTACACAATTACAATTAAGGCATCTCAGTAGAAAATGTTTTCATTTTTACTGTGACTATTATACGATCGTCGTTACAATCAGTTACGGAGTTTTCCGATTATCGAATCATTTGATTATCTTCTGAATATATCCACATAAAAGTGTTGTTTTTTTGAATTGCTGGTTATTTGTGGCATACATGTATTAGTTAGAAATGCTAATCATTCATACGTTACTCATAGTACACTTTAAGTTTTTTTCACATTCCAGAGGTATCGCTCTGATAATGGCATTCATCATAATACTCATCAAGGCATTGCATACAGAGTCTACAAGGAATACTGTCATCATGATTATAACCGTAAGTCGAACATGATTCCAAATTATGTATATAATTTTGTATTTGTATTTCCATTTGGTTTTCAGAAATTACATCCGACTGAATCGTCAATGACTAA